CCATTTGAACAGAAGAAGGGGACACTGAATGGTTTAAAATCAGTAAAGGTGTGCACTGAGATTGTATTCTTTCTCCATACTTATTCAATCTGTATACTGAGCAAATAATCCAAGAAGCTGGATTATATGAACAACAATATGGCATCAGAATTGGAGGAAGGCTCATTAACAACCTGTAATGTGCAGATGATACAACCTTGCTTTCTGAAAATGAAAAAGACTTAAAATACTGATAAAAATCAAAGACCACAGCTTCAATATGGGTTACACTTTAATGTAAAGAAAACAAACATCCTCACAACTAGATCAATCAATAACATCATGATAAATAGAGAAAAAGATTAAAGTTCTTAAACACTTCATTTTGCCTGGATCCACCAGCAACTCTCATGGAAGCAGCCGTCAAGAAATCAAATGACCTTATTGCATTTAAGCAAATGTACTACACATGACATCTTTAAGGTGTTCAAGAGCAAATATGTCAGTTTGAGGACTAAGATGCACCTGACGCAAGCCATGATTTTTTTCAGTCGCTTCATATGCATGAAAGTTGGACAGTGAATGAGGAAAACTCTGGAAGAATGGATGCATTTGAGTTATGGTGCTGGAAAAAAATATTAAAGGTAGCATGGACTGCCAGAAGAACAAACAAATCTGTGTTGGAAAATGTACAGCCAGAATGTTCCTTGTATGTGAAAACGGCCAGACTTCCTCTCTCATACTTTAGACATATTATCAGGAGAGACCAGTCCCTGTAGTAGGGCATCATGCTTCATAAAGCAGAGGGAAAACAAAAAAGAGAGAGACCTTCAACGAGATAGATTGACACCGTGGCAATAACAATGGACTCGAGTAGCAGTGATTTTGAGATTGGCACAGGACCGGGCAGTGTTTCATTCTGTTGTGTATAGGGTCACTATGCACCAGAACAAACTAGATGGCACTTAACAATAACAGCAACAACCTCAAGGATACATGGGAAAGACCATCACGATCTAACTGTACTTACCCAAGAGCTACAAAGGCAGACCCATTCTACTCTAAGAGAAACAAAACTGAAATCCAAACTTACAAGGAAGTTGGGTTAAGGCTCTTTAAAAAAAACATGTTCTGAGCTTTGGGGGGTTCTATAAGGAGCTATGCTTGTAGATGTAGTAGCTCAAAAGAGGGAACAAATCTTTACAGAGTAGATCATTCCCACCCCCTTGGCACACGGGGTTGACAGGGATGAGTAACTTAGACATTGGATACCCGAAATTGGGGGTGGGGTGCTACAAAGGCATGATGTGACGGGCTTACAAGCTTTCAATAGGGAGCATAGTTCCAGAGGGTATGGAGAAAGGTAAAATCTCCACTGAGTGGTTTCCAACCTGTTTGGACAGGGCTGATAAAAGGTGATGGGGATAAGACTCTTGTGGTCAATAGGGAATGACTGCTATCAGGACTGAGTGTGAGTGTTGGAAAGGTAAAGGTAGACATTTTGTAACAAAAAGAACGGAGTGGATGACCGTGCAGCCCAGGAGCAGAGGTCCCTGGAACCATCGAGGGAGAAAAGTGAAGTGCGGGACCCTATCCAAAAAAGCAGTGACACCTGGGGTGAAGGCAGAGAGGATGACGTGGAGAAATGGAGCGTCTGGGGACTCTAGACTCAGGGATGGAGAGGGGCTGTGTGCTGGTGGCCGGGGGACAGGCGTACGGGGTGTACCCTTTGGTTGTTTGATGATGATGCATGAAGGGAATTGTAATCATTGCAATGAAGTGAAATATGATAGGATGAATGTAAAGACCCTATCACATAATTCACAATAAAAACTTAAAAAAAAAAATTTACAGCCTCAGAAACCCTGTACAGGGTCGCTATGAGTCGGAACCAACTCCACAGCACATAATCACCACCACCATAAGTGATATGCTTTGCCAAAGGCAGGAAGTTACTCTTTCATGCAACATTTTGTTCCTTAATTTCTTCAAGTCCAAATAGGTCCTTGCAGGAGCGAGATCTGCGCCTTATTGGTCTTCCCCATCATGGAGTACTTCTTTTGGTAGAGAGAACAAAGTGCTCCACAGGTATCAGGTGGCATTACTGTCATTCACTCATTCAGCACATATTTATGACATACCCCGACTGTGTAGCGTAGGGGTTATGAATCAGGCTGCAAACCACAAGGTCAGCTGCTCCGCACGAGAAAGATGAGGCTTTCTGCTCCCATAAAGATGTACAGCCTCGGAAACCCTGTTCAGGGTCGCTATGGGTCGGAACCAACTCGACGGCACTTAACAACAACAACAACAACACTGTGTGCCACATATTGTTTAAGTACTGGCTATTTATGAGAGGGCTTCAAAAGGTTCACGGAAAAATAATTAAAAGATAGTGGAATTTTTTCTATGAACTTTTTTGAAGCCCCCTCATGTTAGTGACTAAAACCGAAATGTGGGACTCACATACTAGCAAGAGAGACAGAAGAACAATTAAAAAGCATCATGAATAAGTAGAGTATGTTTGAGTGGGATATATTTTTTAAATAGAGTTGGGGTGGGGAAGGGATGGAATATTGGAGTGGGAGAGGGAGTTTCAATTGTCAATGGGTGGTCTGAGTAGTTTTCATGATTTAGTGAACACTGTAAGGGGTAAAGGGTTGAGCCAACAGGAGGAAGGGGACACCAAGAGCAAAGGTCCTATGTGGGAGTACACCCAGTGTGTTTCATGAAGGGCAAGCAGGCCAGTATGACCAGAGGAAAGTGACAAAGAACAAAGAGAAGTAATAGGAAATTAGGTCAGAGAACAGTGAAGGCCAGATCTTCCAGGGTTTTGTAAGAGGCCGTCTATGAACTTGGACTTGTTCTTGGGGAGTACTTGGAAGATTCTTAGCAGAAGCATGACAGCAATGACTGACATTGTATTTGGATCACTCTGATGGTCAGGTTAGCCACAGACTGTGAGGGGGCCCTAGCAAGAATCCAGATGCGAGATGATGGTGGTTCCCATGAGAGTGATAGCAGGACAAGAGTAGGATTGGTCAGATTATGTGAAGGTAGAGACGACAGGATTGGCCAGTGGACCAGATGAGAGTTATGAGAGACAGAAGGCCAGGATGAGTCTCAGGTTTGGGGCCAGAGGAGCTAGAAGGATGAGTTTACCATCACTAAGGTAGAAAATGGAATTCTGGTGTGGGGATGCAGTTGATGCGCTGGGCTGCAAAGTCAGTTTGAACCGCAAGGTCAGTGGTTCAAGCTCACCAGCCACTCCTCGGAAATCCTATACAGGGTCGCTATGGGTTGGAATCAGCTTGACGGCACTTAACAACAACAACAAGGTAGAAAATGGAGTTCTGGTGTGGAGCTGTGGGTTAATGCGCTGGACTGCAAAGTCAGTTTGAACTGCAAGGTCAGTGGTTCAAACTCACCAGCCGCTCCTCAGAAACCTGATACAGGTTTGCACTGAGTCTGAACCAACTTGATGGCACTTAACAACAACAACAAGGTGTAAAATATGAATGGGGAGCCAATTTTGAGGAGAAGAGGAGGAGTATAGTTTGAGGCATGTTATCTGAGATGTTGATTTGAAACCTCAGCAGGGACACCAGCTGGACAAGTCCATGGACACCAGGGTTAGTCATCAGTTAAGTCTAACAGTTAAATCGGTGGCACTGAGCTGAACATGTAAAAAATGTTGATTTGGTGAATGTTGAATTATATAACGGAGCCCTGGTGATACTGTGGATTATACGTTGGGGGCTAACTACAAGGTTGGCAGTTCAAAACCACCAGCCACTCCCTGGGAAAAAGATGAGATGCTCCTATAAATATTACAGCCTTGGAAACCTTCTATCTAGTTGCTGTGGAGTTTTGTGTTATGTATTTTTACCACAATTAAAAACAAACTGCTAATGGCAGAATACAAAAATGTGTATACATTGGATGAATGGGAAGGCAAAACAACACACATGCACACAAAAATATGTAACATTATCTCAATTGTGTAAAAAACGCACATATACAAGGAGGCTTTCAAAAAGCATATGAAAGAATGGAATTAAAAAAGAATAAGATGTTTTCCATGAACTTTTTGAAACCTCCTCAAACAAAGTCTTAAAAAGAAAAAAAAAACCATGCAAGAAACACCAGCCCATCCATGGGAATTCTCTCTGAGTGATTCATACTAGGTCTTTTTACTTTTCTTTGTCTTTGATTTTCTGTATTAAATAAATTTTCTACAGAAAGTTTGTCATAGATTTATGATCTAGGGAAAGCATAAATCTTAAAGAAAAGTATTTCTGAAGATCTGAGTTTAGGATGGTGGCATTATCATGCAAAGAAAAGGCTGGCTGTAAGGACATCTAAGGGGGGGAAAAAAAATCCATCAATTACTATTGTCGGATCAGGCCTGGGAAGTTCCTACAGATATCTGTATCTCACTTGCAAGCCCAACCTGGTCTTCCAGATGGAGGACTTTCACGGAGAATTTCCACATCATAGCAGCAGTCAGCAAGGGAAGAGCATTTACCCATCACTCTTTCACTTCATCTTCCCACAACCATGGAAGGCCTCAGCTCTGGAAGCCTTAGATAGTGGGAGGCCCAGACGTACGGCCACCAAGCTGGTAGGTGACAGAGCAGATTTAACCGCTGTCTGTCTGCCTCATGCCCAGAACTTTTCCCTCTGCCTGTGAACATCAGAAGGAGATTCTCTTCTGAGGCCACGTCTTCCAGCTGGGTTAGAATATCCCCTTGTCACCAGGGACTTCTCTGACTCCAAAGACCTCGGGTAAACACAGCAGACATTAACAGATCATGATGTGTTAGGAATTACAGAGGCCTCTGAGTTTTTCTCCCCATCCCAAACAAACAGCAGAGATTCTAGTGAGCCCACGCCAAAAGGGAAATGAAAACTCCTCTCCCTGGGATTTTCCAAGGCTTTGTGATGAGCGTGAAGGCTGGAAGCTTGCTCAGCTGGACTGTGTGTTCTGACCTTTCCTCTAAAGCTCTGTTTACTTTCAGAGAACTCAGAAAGGGCCTACAGACGCTGTTTGGCTCAGGGTACTTGGCAGACGTGGGAGAACACCACGAATATTTGGCAGGATGACTCGGAATGCGACGAGAACCACAGCTTCAGGAAGAACGTGAGTCTTTTCTGCCTGGTGATATGGCATTGGGGGCCCAAGCCACCCTCCACTGGGGCATCCTCCGTGGGGTCACACAAAGAGCCTTCCCTCAGCTTGCTGCCCCAGACTCGGCTAGGGAATGTCCAGGACCACTTAGAACAGCAAACCTAGTGCCAGGACCTGAATTTCCTCTATGAAACCAAAGACAAACTAAACCAGCCGCTGTGAAGTAGATCCTGACTCAGGGCAACCCCATGTGCTTCAGAGTACAATTGTGCTCCACAGGGTTGTCAAGGCTGTGATGGCTCAGAAGTAGAGGGCCAGGACTTTCTTCTGAGGTGTCTCTGGGTGACTTTAAACCACCAACACTTTGGTAGCAGCCGAGCACTTAACCATTTGGACCATCTGGAGAGTACTTAGGGTGCAATGTGAAATCCGAGGGACGTCAGTCTTTCAACATTGGTGCTTCTTTTAGTGCTTGCTGTTCCCTCTGCCTGGAACACCTTTCCTCCAGCTCTTCTACGACGGTCTCCTCCTCCTCATTCAAGCTTCGAGAGGTTTTCTGTGGCCATCCAATCACGATTGGCCTCCCCTGTCACTTTGTACTACCCCACCCTGATGCATGTGTCAGAGCCCTGGTGGTACTGTAGGCTAGGCATTGGGTTGCTCATGGAAACGTTGGCATTTCAATCCCACCAGTCTCTCCATGGGAGAATGAGAGACTGTCTGCTCATGTACAGATTGATAGTTTCAGCAAGCCTAAGGAGCAGCTCTACTCTGTCCTATAGGGTTGGTATGAGCTGGAATTGACTCTCTTTGCTTTGTTTTGCTTTGTTGCTGGTTATTGTTTTGGCATAGTGTGTGTTGGAAAGCAGTGGTGGGTAAGTAGTAGAATTCTCACCTTTTATACAGGAGACCTCTTCAAAGTGTTAAAAAAAACAAAGATGTGGAACCAGACAAGGTTATCCTTTATTACCACTCCTGTTCAATACTGTGTTGGAATTCTTAGCCAGAGCTATAAGCAAGAAAGGGAAATTAAAGGCATCTTAATTGGCAAAGAAGAAGTAAAACTCTTTCTATTTGAAGATGATATGATCCCATACATAGAAAATCCCAAAGACTCAGCAACAACCTCCCCTCCCCCCACCACACACACACACACACACACACAAAACTACTGGAACTCTTTAGAAGATTCAACAAAGTGGCAGGGTACAAGATCAACATACAAAAATCAGTTGCATTCTTCTATACTAATAAAGACAACTCTGAAAAGTAAATTAGGAAAGCAATACCATTTACAAAATCCATCCAAAGAATGAAATATTTAGGAATAAATCTAACCAGAGAAACAAAAGACCTATACAAAGAAAACTAGAAGAGACCAAAGAAAGACTTACAAAAAATGGAAAATATACCATGCTCATGGATAAGAAGATGTAACATTGTGAAAATGTCAATACTACCCAAAGCAATCTACAGATATAATGCAATACCAATCCAGATTCCAACAACATTTTTTATAGAGATGGAAAAGATGAACATGAGCTTTATATGGAAGGGAAAGAGACCTCAGATAAGCAAAGCACTGCTTAAGTAAAAAACAAAGTGGGAGGCCTCTCACTTCCTGATTTCAAATTTTACTACAGAGCCACAGTGTTTTACTACAAAACAACCTGGTATTGGTACAATAAAAGATACACAGGTCAATGGAACAGAACTAAGAACCCAGAAATAAATCCATCCACACACAATCAACTGATCTTTGACAAAAAGTCAAAATACATTAAATGAGGAAAAGAAATAGTCTCTTCAACAAGTGGTGCTGGCAAAACTGGAAATCAATTTGCAAAAGAATGAAACAAGACCCATATCTCACACCATATATGAAAACTAGCTCAACATGGATTAAAATAAATATCTAGGTGTAAATCCCAGAACTATAAAGATCAATGAAAAAAATAGGAGCAAACCTAAGGCTCTAATACACGGCATATATAGAATATCAAACATGGCAAAAACACACAAACAATAGAAAACAAAATAGCAAGTTTCAGAGTTTCTTTTGACATCCATTTTGACCTTTTCCTTCTTTCTTGTCTTCTTAATGACTTTTTGCTTTCTATCTGTATGATGTTCTTGATGTAGTCCCACAACTCTTCTGGTCTTCGGTCTTTAGTGTTTAATGTATCAAATCTGTTCTTCAGATGATATCTAAATTCAGGTGGGATATATTCAAGGTCATATGTTGGCTCTCGTGGACTTGTTTTCATTTTCTTCAGCTTCAGTTTGAATTTGCATATGAGTAATTGATGATCTGTTCCACAGTCTTCCCCTGGCTTTGTTTTCACTGATGATATGGAGCTTTTCTATCATCTCTTTCCACAGATGTAGTCAATTTGATTTCTGTGTATTCCATCTGGTGAGATCCATGTGTATAGTCATCTCTTATGCTGTCTAAAGAAGGTATTTGAAATAATCAAATCATTGATTTTGCAGAATTCTATCATGCGATCTCCAGCATCATTTCTATCCCCAAGGCTGGCTTGTGAAATGTGCCCTTTGGACATTTAAACAAATATATCCCTCGCTTCTCTCATGCTCTTCCCTCTTGATGTTCCTGGGGTCTGCTGTTCCTGAAATGACAGATTAACTGTTCCCCTCTTTTAGTTGTACCTCTTCTACATTGACAGTTGTGATAATTGCCATTACTCACAATTGAATCATAAAATCCTATCCCCATCATCACCAGACCCTTCTGGGCAAGAGGAAATCTATTCAGTGGGGATTTGATCTTATCCCCCTCTTTCTGACACTAAGCACCCCATGTCTTTATAGCCCTCCAGTTTTGGTAGCCAAAGTCTAAGTTGCCCTTCCCTATCAACCCAGTGTACTGAGGAGGCCAGCTTGATCTCTGATATGAAGAATCCTTCTCTTTTGGTTGGAATTTTGAGCAAC